CCCCCCCCTCTGTCTTGTCCTGTGCCGTGCCATGTGCTGGCTCCCTCATGCCCTGCCCCCCTCCCCCTCCAACCTCATGATTCATACTGAGCGCGGTGATCGGCAGGGTGGCTTCTCCGCCCGCGCCCCGCCCGGTTAGGCAACCCAACGCACTCGCCAATATTCACAGCTCTGCTCGGCTGCAGCGCGTAGCGATAGCGACCCCCCTCTCCTATCTCCTCATATATTTTTTGTTTCGGCGTTCATCAGGGAAAGAGTAAGAGGAGGGGAGCGAGGCGAGCGACGTGAGCGAGATGTACCCCTTCTCTCTCTTTCTCTCTTTCTGCCCCCCCCCCCCTCTTTTCCCACTCTCACTGCTGCACGGCGCCAGGCGCCAGCCGCGGCCACTCACAAGTGCTGCAGACTGTCCAGCGACTCGAACAGCGACTCCGGCAGGAAGTCCAGCTCGTTGTCGTACAGGTCCCTGTGGACAAAGCGCGCCCGCAGCATATGATGGCTCAAATTGCTTGCTTCCTCTGTGCATTTAGTTTTGGTTGTGTAGGAGGAAAATGAGAGAGAATGTTGACGCCCAGATGAAAAGATGGCTTGGCATGTCGTCAGGAATTTCCGGTCCCTTCAGGAAGGGAGAATTGGGGTGATCCGCCCAGTCGCCCTTGTCTTTTGGTTATTCTGGACCGGATTCTTGCGTACGGGTGGGTTGCATATTTGCACGCACTGTAAATTGCTTACGAACAACTAAATCCCTCGTAGCTTACGAAGGATTTTGAAGCGTTAATACGAACCTTTCTAACCTCGTTTCCAGCCTTATAAACAATCGCTTTGAAAGCAAAACAAAAAATTCTTTGTAATACAAAGAACGAAAATTGTTCGCAACGTTGCAAAGCATTTGGATCGTAAGTTCGTACAGTGCAGACATCATTACGTTAGTCAAGCCCAGCTCAACTGCACGCCAGAATCTGGTACATCAAAACTAAAAGGATGGGGATGGGGCAGATCACCCACCGTGTATTCTGTATTTTACACCGTCTTCAGACTCCCGATCCTCTCTTATTGCTACCTCCAGACTCACAGATCAGTCAAGTGGACGAGACCCCGGAAAGCGTCCTTGTGCAGGGTGGACAGCCGGTTCACGCTGAGGTCACTGAACAAAAAAACACCACGTACTGTTAACATACAGGGTCAGGGAGATAGGTTTCCCATACTACGTGACAAAAGTGGGCAACGGACCCAAAAGGATCAGGACCATCATTATTGGAATTCACGGGATCCCATAACGCGGGACACAAGCGACAAATTCCCTCATGGACTCCAATGATGGTCCTACCTAATTCTTCTTTATGCTCCATAGAAAGGTCAAGTAGCATGGGAACAACCCGAGCCCAACTGTGGTAATCAGGTGTACAGAGACTTTGGTAATCACTGGTAATCCCTGGTAAGGGCTCATCCAGAAAGTACGTTCTTCATTCACCGTTACGAACCTGCCAAATTCATCTCATGCAAGCTCTCTTAGCGCCTGATAGGTAGGCAACATCGTGGCCGCCATGCATGCGTGTACTGCGGGGTGGCCTGCCCCGAGTCTCGCAGGCGCTGAGCTCCCGTAATTTGCCGAATGAAATGAACCCGAGAAAAAAACGTACGTACTTTCTGGACGATCCCTAATCCACACAATCGTGAGGGTCCTTTCTAAGGACATTTTTTTTTGTTTGAGGCTTGCATTTAATTTGTGCCTAAATGCAAACGCGCATGTTTAATATGGCAAATTTGCATCTCTGTCATGGAAAAAAAAAATATCATTCACAGCATATAAATTTGTATTGTAACTTGCAAGATAAAAAATTAAAAACTACATAAATTATGTGCACAAAATGCATCTTTATCGAGACGAAAAAATGCCGTTTAGATTTAGAATGAAGGCAAAGCATACCCAGTAGTATTCATTGGTAATCTTTGGTAATCATTGGTACATTATCTTTACAATTTGGTAATCCTGTGTACACATTTTTATGAAGTTGGGCAACCCCTCGAAACAGCCCCTCGTATACAGGAGCAGAGCGCGCAGCTGCAGGTGGTGACGTACATACTGCGCACGTCCTCGGGCAGCCGCTGCAGCTGCGGCAGCTGTCTCAGGCCGTGCCTCCAGCAGCTGAGGGAGCGCATCTCGGGCCGGCAGCGACACGGGCCGTCGCAGCACTGCAGCCAACGGTCCTCGGCGCCCGACACCATCCAGACTGGACAGAGTGTTAGAGTGGTGAACAGCTTCGGGAGTACGCTTCGAGCAGCACAAACAAAACTCCGCAGCATCCACCCCGCCCGGCCCG